GTAAAAAAAGAAGGAAGGGAGTAGTTTAGGTCCTCTTGGAGTCCAAGCTAAGAAAGGAAATTACCGCCATTTTCATATGTTTTACTTTTATAGTATAATTCATATGTTATCAAATGTCATACATGTGAAGGAAAGTCAATAAAAGTAATTTTGCATCACACGACTTTGACTCAGTAGAAAAGGATATACGAGCAACTCCAAGAGCTTATATCCTTCCTAATTGATGGGAATGGGGATATAGATTTTGGTGAAAAATATCTCCCAACGAATTCTTTAATTAGATATCCAAAAATATTGTCATCCTCTATTTCCGATTTATTGCTAACCAAAGATAGAGAGCGGGCGGGCTGTTGTGGCAGAACCGTCCGAAATAACGTACTTACGGCGGCGCTTGTCTTCCACTGACACTAAGCGCCCCGAGAGCGGGCTACATCGGGCGGGTTTCGTCGACACACCCCGAGGGAAAGCCCGAAAGATCCACATTTTCTCCAAGGATCCAATAATGAGAACGAGTTACAAACTTAGTCCATTTCATACATCCAGAGTTTTTAAAAAATTGTATTATTACATTACAAAAGTCAGAGTGTGGAATATTAAACAGCGGAATTAAAATAAATATCAAGTAAACATTTATCGATAATAAGCAAGGATCCGTCTGTGGCCAACAGAAGAATCATTCACACAATGGCTACGTCTCAAGTGGTATCTACAATAGGGGTAAATAAACCCTGAGTACACAATATACTCGCAAGACTTATCCGACTAGTGGGAATAATTTTCCGACTCTAAGAGATATGATAAGCTTTATGGTTTGCTGGTTTCCTTTTTGCAGAAAGCAGTACTAATAGTGAATCCTTATTTATGTTATTATTAGCAGTCATGATTAATTCATTATCTAGCCATTCTATGTAAGCACATGTTCTACTTTCAAGCAACAGTTCCATTTCTCCACCTTTCATCTTTTAGTTCTTACTATGGTGCTAGAGTTTAGACAAGTCGTACCGAATTGGCGGTGATTCGCGAATCAATATGCCTAGCTGGTCCCAAACGCACGCCCCGCTTGTACCCCAAGCACAAGCAGGACCAACCCACCACTCTCCTGTCAAGGGGTCTAGTTCCCCGTCCAAACTTGGACTCCAAGCCTCCGCTCCCTAGTCCCGGACTCAGTACGACGCTTAGATCTCCACCATCCTCGCCTTCAATCAGTCGGTCCAGAAAGAGCTAGAACCCATGACAAGAGATCAACAAGCCTTCCCTGCACCCATACCCAAGTATGTGCTCGGGATAATAAATCTGTGACTTGCCTAGCATCCATTGCAACGGCCGGTCCTTAACCGACACAGACAGGGGAAAAGTGTAACCAAGCTATACCCCATTGGCCGCAGGACACAACCTCTGACACCCACCAATACCTAAACCATATCCTTGCCCAGTCTTTATTTTTTCTTTCCACCATTTTATCATGAGTGATAATAATCACATATTATGAGTAACGGCAGATTACTCACGCTATCGAAATCTTAAGCATAGCAGCTACTCGACCTATACTAGTAGGACTCATAGGTAGATATATTTATGCATGTAGTTTCCATAAAATGCATGTATGTAAATGCACATCATATTTATATTCAGTGATCATTCAAAATAAGGGTTATGCATCGAGGCTTGCCTTGGGCAGGCGGTATGTCAACAAAGTCAGCAACTGATGCCTCCGGGGCTCCCTCCTGAACAAGAATCTCTTCCTCGTACTCTTCAATGATCTCCTCGAACTCCTATTCGTCCGCAGGCACGAACTCTACCAACTCGTTATCTACATGCATGAAATGATGATGCAACACTTAGTAATACGGCAACATCAACTCTTAAAATACGAACACACCTATCAAGCTACTAGCTAGTTCTACCAACTAAGGTGCTAAGTTACCTATTGTTATCACTAACAAGTATGAAACATGACATGTACTATCTTAGCAACTAAAGGCATTCTTACTCTTAATACCGAAAGCAAGGAGTACTAGCTACTCTATTTATCAACCTACTCAAGGGCTACAAAAATTACAGTGAGCACATAATAATCTAATGAACCTACTGTAAAAATTTTATGGCTAAAGCTATCACCAATTTGCGACCAAAATTCCTACAAATATTAAGGTAAATAATACTAAGCTCTCCTAAATGAATTAATGAATCTATCACTATTACAGATAACTATAAACTAACTACACCAACAGCTAGATAGCATTTTTGTGAACATAACAAATTTTGTTTCACTATTTTTGGACATCTACATAATTTACTATAATTTTTTAAAGTTCAGCTGGAAATTAAATTGAATAAACCTTTACTAGTTCACTGAAAAATAAAAACCCAATATCCACCACGCGGCCCACGAGCGAGCGTCGTGGCCCACTCTCACGCATCGCGCGCGCGCATGCGTAGCACACCAGCGCGACCCACGTGGCTCGGCCCACGCACGACAGTGGCCCACGGAGGGGAGACCCGCGCGGGCGCCGACGCTTATGCAAAAGAGCCCTCGGCTTTCAACTAAATGGACCCGCAGTCCTATCTACTATTTCACTCTCTGTGACGCTCTCACTAACCCTCCCGACTTACTTTGAATCCCCGTTTCAAAGTCCCTGGCCGGAACTTATTAGAGGCTACGGCATCTCTGGCCAAACGCCGATGAGCACGGACCTCCTCGACAGCAAACATCACCACCGTGACACTCTTCATCACAAGCTCAGTCGATAGAGGTATAAAACACCATCATTGGTGCTGCACAGAGGCGTGGCCATGCACCACGGAGGGGTTTGGCCGCGGTGACACTGACGCCGGTGAAAACGTCTAGCCCAACGCTACCATCACTACCTAGCCTCCATGCCTAGAGTACTTATAACATTCTAGAGGTCTTAAATATACCCGTTCTACTCCCAAACGAGCCAGCCACCACATCATCTATCACACCGTTAGCCGATGGCTACTCCACGAGCCGGCGCCTAACCGATTCAACCATCTACCCTAGGGATCACTAGAGTAAGCTCGGCAAGGTGGTTGGCCACGTCGCATTGCTCGTTCACGGTGATTCTCGCACTCGCTACACCCTTGGTGAAACTATTTCACAGGAAAGGCAACCAAGTCACGGAGACGCAAAAGCACCGCTCAATTGAGACAAAGGGGCAAGGAACGATGCCCTGGCCGAGCACCCACCCCGATGGCCATGGCGGACCGCCACGAGGGAAAAGCTCCGTGGTACCTCACTGGAGGATGAAAGCTTGTGAGGTCGACTCCAATCGTGAGCTAACCATCAGAGCTAGTTGGGTGCACGGTTAATTAGACGGAGGTGGACGGTGCGAGGCCAATTGGGTGGACGACGCCGTTCGGTCTTAAGGTGGTCAACGGCGGTGGAAACCTCAAATTGAAGCCCGACACCGTACGGCTATAGCAGTGGCAGGCTTGGTGCGAAGCTAGGCTCTAATTCAAGCTCTAGGCGTGCGCAATTACACGGATGGGGCCAGGCTCTGCGAGTCAAAGCGATAGTGATAGGATGCGCGGCGTGGCACAGCCACTAAATGGAAGAGGACAACGGTGCGATGGATGACGGCTCCATGTGCGCGTACGAGGCCGGCACGATGACATGTGATCGCAGCGCTTTGACTCGCAAAATGACGGCGGCTAGGCCTCGTGACGGCGTAGCGGGCGCGCGCAGCAGGGGCAGCGACGATGCGACGCAAGTGATGTGAGCGCACGCGAGGTGACAACACGATGCAGAGGCACGTGCGCGTGCTGGCGACGGCAGCGGGGCGATGGCAGAGCGGCCAGGCTCACTGGCCACCAGCGTCCCGCCGAGCGCGGCGTGCGCGTGAGTCGCGTGCGTGGGCACATGCGTGGGCGCGACAGCGGTGATGCGGAGCCCACGCGGTGGTGTGCGTGTGCGCGCGCGTGGACGAGTGGCGATGCCCGGCCGAGGCAAGGTGACCACGCCCAGACGCTGCAACCGGCGGTAACGTGCCATGCATGATTTTTAAAGCGCCCCAAAAATCCAACTTGATGCCTCAATTGCTAAACCACCTATTTTACACTCGAGATGGCATGTTAGGTTACTAAAACAAGCCCTAGGACCATACCACTACTTAACCCGATTCTTTTACAAGAATTGCCGAACTTAGCTTCGTCAAAGCGTTTCCTGGACTTAGGAAATTCGACTAAGTCTCGATCGGATCCGCGTCGAATTCGATTTCCAAGCTATTCGCTACGCTAGCTAGTGAATTCCTTTCGCGATCATAGGTATTTCATCGTCACCTACAAAGTTTGTACTACAAACTTTATTAACGTTCCGTATATGCGTTCTATAGCATTTTCGCTTAATAAAAATTAATTTAAAACCCTAAGTGATGTAACGCGACATTGAAATATAACTTTCGTTTCATGTTTCCATTGATCGTTTCGAATTACAGAAATTAATTTACACACTATTTTACATACACTATCACATATACATGATATCCATACAGTGTTTTAGCAAAAATTTACAGTGTATCACCGAGGGTGTTATAGCTCTCTAGAGTGCACATAAGATACAGAAAATTTGTTGCACTGTGAAAAGATATAAAGAACGATTTTTGTTCAAATAACTCTCCAACTGATAATTTAAAGTGTGAGTTTAAGAAAGACTTTTGGAGATGTTCAAATGTGGTTAACATTATTTCTGAAGTTAATTTTATTTTTGCAAACACAAGTTTTGTTATCTATATATTTTCTTAAAATTTGGTAGTTCGTCATAATAAAAATTGCAAGGGTACGCAGTAGGCGACCTACAATGAAGGCTAACCAACCAGAGCAACCCGGAAAAAATTATGGCCAATTTTTGCCTGTAGTCAACTCCCGACCTCTTTAGCAGCAGCACAAATCTTGGGACACGAATGATGTCCATTTATAGCCATTTCACGCCCTTGTCTCTCTTGTTTACCTCACGGTCATTCCAAATCCGAAAGGACCACGCAATGTTCCGATACCTCACTGCTCTGATTCTCGTCGCCGCCTTAGCAGCGTCTATGAACAAGTTCGTTGATGCCCGCGTGGTCCACCCCATCGTCAGCCCCGACCTCGAGGCCACCGGCCCATCTCCCGCCGATGATGACGACGGCCATCGTCTAATCGGCACCACCGGCCATGATGAACTCGTAGCGTTATGCCAACAGGTAGCACACGAATTTGATTTGTAGCATAGTACAGACGAATTGCAGTGCGGTGCGTCGTAGGGGCTTGATTTCTTCTTGAATGAAGACTTACAGATGTGCATGCACACGTACGCAATGCATGGCATGTGCAGATGCACTACCAGACGTTGTGCACCACGATGACGACGCTGCCCAGGGTGACGACGCCGGAGCAGCTCCTGGACGCGTCCCTGTGGATTACAGCGGTGAAGGAGGCAATGGCGGAGACAAAGCTGGACCAGGCGATAAAGTCGGGCGGCGCCCAGGGTAACCCGATGATGCCATTGCTGGAGACGTGCAAGGAGAGCTACGCGTCACTGGTGGACTCCATCAATACCTCATGGGACACGCTCAAGAGCGGTGGCAGCAACACGGACCTGATGTCAGGAGTTGTCCGCGGCGGCCACATACTCCACCGACTGCGAGGACACCTTCGAGGAGCGGCCGGAGCTCCAATCGCCCATACCCAAGGCTCAATGCCATATCAGCCGCGTCGTTAGCAAATGCCTCGACCTGGCAGCCAACGTCAAGGAGCTGCCCTAGACGCCTATGACGTAGACATGATAGATCATTAGGATCAACTAGCAGCAGATCTAGCGTGTATGAACTTGAATTTAGAATATGGTAAACCCTAGAATATGAACTAGTGTTAGGAAACAGAGAGAGAAGGATGCGGTGTTAGCAAACCATCGGTCGCCTTGGAGGTAGACGAGCTGGTCATGGCATCGGTGTCGGTGACGCGGTGAAGGCGTAGAGTAGCAGTGGAGTCCGGCGATGGTGTGGACGTCACAGTGGAGGCACGATCGCAGAGGCGGCGGTGAAGACGCGGCGGTGGCGGCTTCTTGTCGCTGGCAGCGTCCTCCCTCTAGATCGGCTTAGGGTTATGATGCAGGTGGGGTTTGTGGTGGCTTAGGTGAACATCGTGCCTTGTGCCCCGGCCCCACCTCCTTTTTATGGCGCTGTGCGATGGAGAACCACCAACCATAGATAGGGTTGGGCGCCCCCGATTAGGATGCGGATCAAGGGCCCAATTAGCCGTTGGACCAAGTTGGTAGAGATCAACCTAGCATTCTCCCCCTTAATCTCACCTTATGACTTAAACTTAACTTACTTTATCTTTTTCTCGTTCCATCACAGATCAGTGCATAGAGCGTGTCTCATCGTCATGGTCAGTTGCCATTAGATTAACAGCTATAATGCACCTCTCTGTTTTGAAACATATTCTCATCTAGGCCCTTATTGTCTAGGAATCATAGACTTTCTCTTAAACCTATGCCGGCTAAGTGTTCTCTGAACATCTTGGGTGGTAAGCCTTTTGTAAGCGGATCCGCGAGCATCTTTTCTGTACTTATATGCTAGAATAATTATATGATCCCGGACTTTGTCTTTCACAATATAATACTTTATGTCAAGGTGTTTGGCAGCACCATTTGACTTATTGTTGTGAGCATAACATACTGTTGGATTATTATCGTAGTATAACTTGAGTGGCTTATGTATGTCGTCTACCACTTTCAACCCGAGCATGAACTTCTTCAGCCAATTCACCTGCCCTATGGCCTCATAACACGCTACAAACTCAGCATACATTGTAGACGATGTGGTGACGGTTTGCTTGGAGTTTTTCCACGATATAGATCCTCCTACGAGAGTAAATATATATCCTGACGTGGACTTTCTATCATCTCTCGTATAATCTGAATCTGAATACCCCTCTATGTATAGGAAATCAAATCTTCTATATGTTAGCATGAGGCCTTTTGTGCCTTGCAAGTAACGCAAAACATTCTTTACTAGTCTCCATTGTTCTATTCTGGATTACTCTGATATCTACCAAGTAAACACTTTAGCATACTGTAAACTTCTAATAGCTAAAGCATATGGAACCACTTTTATTTGATCGATCTCATATTGGTTCCTAGGACATTGAAATTCTCCAAATCCATCGCCCTTGACTATGAAAGCAGGTGAAGGCTTACAATTTCGCATACTATATTTCTTTAGAACCTTTTCTAAGGATGCCTTTTGTGATAGTTCTAAAACCTCCTTTTCTCTATCTCGGTGAATCTCTATTCCTAGAACGAACGAAGCTTCACCGAGATCCTTCATATCAAACTTCGAGGACAAGAACTTCTTCGTTTCTATTAGTAGATTAACATCACTACTAGCAAGTAAGATATCATCTACATACAAGATTAGAAAAATGTATTTCCCATTCTTAAACTTTGCATAAACGCAATTGTCCTCTATATTTTCTTGAAATCCAAACTTTATTATTGTACTATCAAACTTTAAATACCACTATCTTGATGCTTGTTTTAATCCATAAATGGATTTCTTCAGACGACATCACATACGTTCTTTTCCTTCCATAACAAAACCTTTTGGTTGTGCCATGTAAACATTTTTCTCCAAATTCTCGTTTAGGGATGCCGTCTTTACATCCATCTGATGTAATTCTAAATCGTAATGTGCTACAAGCGCCATTATAATTCTAAAAGAATCCTTACACGAGACTGGTGAAAATATATCATTGTAATCTATGCCTTCTCTTTGCGTGAAGCCTTTCACCATAAGTCGCGCTTTAAATCTTTCTATGTTCCCTTTGGAATTATGTTTAGTTTTGTAGACCCATTTACAACCTATTGTCTTGGCTCCTTTAGGAATTGTTTCTAAGTCCCAAACACCATTGGTATTCATTGATTTCATTTCATCTTGCATGGCTTCAAGCCACTTTGATGAGTGAGCGCTTCTCATGGCTTTCAAATGAGGTGGGATCACCCTCCATTTGAAATTCTTCACATTCATAGACTTCATAATCATCAGAAATGGCTGATCTCCTGACACTTTGAGACCTTCTAGGGGCCTCGTTAGTTGATGCTTATTCTATAAGAGGCTGTTGTTGCTCTTCCTCATGTGTGACAACGGGTTCTATGGGATCCTGAACGACAGGATCCTCATGTTCATTCATTGTTGTCATAGGAGAACTAACAACAGGTGATGTTACTATAGTGTCATGCACTGTTGGTACAACAACAACGGATAGCATGAAGAATGGTTCCTAAACCATTAGAGTGGGCATGTATATCCGCTTCTCTTCAAAATTAATTTCTCGCGCTAACATGCTCTCCTTGACCATATCATCCTCCAAGAACGCAGTCGTGTCTCGTTTCTACAAACTTTGTATGTCTATCAGGACAATAGAAGCGACAACCTATTGACTTTTCTAGATAGCCAATGAAATAGCAATTGACTATCTTAGAGTCTAGCTTTCCTATGTTTGGATTAAAAACTTTTTTGTCCACAACTCATATGGTGTTTTGAGCACCGACTTGCTTGACACTCGATTAAGAATATGAATGGTGGTTTTTAACGCCTCTATCCATAAACTTATCGGTAGAGTAGAGTAACTTATCACACTTCTCACCATATCCATTAAGGTATGGTTGCATCTTTCAGCTACTCGATTCTGTTGAGGCTCGCCCGGTGTAGAGTACTGGGCAACTATGCCATTTTTCTGTAAGAACCTTGCAAAAGGTCCAGGAACTTGACCATATGGGGTGTGTCGACCGTAGTACTCTCCCCCACGGTCGGATCTTACTACTTTAATCTTTAAGTTGTACTGATTTTCTACTTCAGCCTTAAAAATCTTAAATTTATCCAATGCTTCTGATCTTTCTTTAATTGGATAAATATAGCCAAAACAAGAATAATCATCTGTGAATGTTATAAATGAATTATAACCATCCACACTCTTCACACGAAAAGGACCACAGATGTCTGTTGAAAGGTCCTAATATGGCTAGAGGGGGGGTGAATAGCCTATTTAAAAATCTACAAATCAACTAGAGCAATTTGATTAGTATGACAAATAGCGTAATACAAACTTGCTCTAGCTCTACAAGGGTTGCAAGCCACCTATCCAAAAATTCTAGTTGCAATAAATACTTAGGCACACAAACTAGCTATGTAATTACTCACTAAGAGCTCTCAACCTTGCTACTCTAAAGAGCTCAACTAGATGAATGTAAATAATAAAGCAAGCTTTCAATTCTAATTACACTAAAGAGCTTGCATCAACTAGTTTGCAAGAATGTAAATGAGTGAGTAGAGTGATTATACCGACGTGTAGGGGATGAATCAATCACAAGATGAATATATAGCCAATCACCGGGAGAATGACAAAGAAGAGAGACAATCGATTTTCTCCCGAGGTTCACGTGCTTGCCAACACGCTTACGTCCCCTTATGTCGACCAACACTTGGTGGTTCGGCGGCTAAGAGGTGTTTCACAAACCTCGTCCACATGATTGGACACCGCAAGAACCGACCCACAAGTGAGGTAACTCAATGACACGAGCAATTTACTAGAGTTACCTTTAGGCGCTCCACGCCGAAGGTACAACTCCCCTCACAATCACCGGCGCTGACCGAACAATCACCAACTCGTGCCGATCCTTCACCGCTGCTCCAACTGTCTGGTGGTGGCAACCACCAAGAGAAACAAGCGAAATCCATGGCAAGAACACGAATACCAAGTGCCACTAGATGCAATCACTCAAACAATGCACTTGGATTCTCTCCCAATCTCACAATGATGATGGATCAATGATGGAGATGAGTGGGAGGGCTTTGGCTAAGCTCACAAGGTTGCTATGTCAATGAAAATATGCAAGAGTTTTCCTTAAGCCGCCATGGGGCTATAAATAGAGCCCCCATCAAATAGAGCCGTTGTACCCCTTCACTTTGGGCAAAACACGCTCGACCGGGACGCTCGGTCATACCGACCGGACGCCGGCCCTCGACATCTGGTCGCCTGATGGACGCCACGCGTCACCAGACTTCAAACGCTGTTCATCGATTTCAACGGCTCTGAAAGTCGACCGACGCTCGGTCAAAAGCGACCGGACGTGCCCCAAAGTCATTCCGGTTGTTTCGATAAGCTCCCGAGGCATGTTTTTTTGATCGGACGCGTCCGGTCACACTTATTGACCGGACGCAGACCGGCGTCCGGTGCTCAACTTACCCATCGTGTTGTCGATAGCTCGACGGACGCAGCCTTTCGTCCATCTCATTGAGTTAGCATATTTGTTAGCATATTTTCACAAATATTTTTAAGGTGTTAGCACTCCACTAGATCCTAAATGCATATGCAATGAGTTAGAGCATCTAGTGGCACTTTGATAACTTCTGAGTTACACTCCTCTTATTAATCGGCTATCTATCCTAAATGTGATCACACTCACTAAGTGTCTTGATCACTAAAACAAAATGGCTCCTACATTTTACCTTGAGCCTTTTGTTTTTCTCTTTCTTCTTTTCCAAGTTCAAGCATTTGATCATCACCATGCTATCACCATTGTCATGATCTTCGTCATTGCTTCATCACTTGGAGTAGTGCTACCTATCTCATAATCATCTTGATAAACTAAGTTAGCACTTAGGGTTTCATCAATTAACCAAAACCAAACTAGAGCTTTCATCTGTGTGAACTATTTCT